GGACAGAGACAGGAGAGCGTGCTCAGCCGTGTGTGCTTGGCTGTATGCAGCAATCTCTGCCACATTTGTAAACATCTTTAAATCCTTGCTATCCTGCGTTACAGGAGTAGGGTGTGACAAGAAGCCAATGACTATCAGTTTACAGGAGGTCATGAATTTAAACAGTTCCCCTTCTTCTTCCCTTGGCACTTAGCTTACAGAGTTCTCCTATGCCATGTGCTGGTGTCATACCTCTAAACCACAGCATTGATGGGTTCAGCAAAGCTCACCGCAACAGGCTTTGGTCATCCTCAGATCTTCATGATGAGAGAGACAAAAAGAAAAAAAGTACGAGGTAACAGTCCTATTTTTTTCTCCCGGTCAGCATGCCATAACTAAACCTTCCATGCTAAGATTTGTATCTTGATAGGGATGTTCCCTTAACCTCACACCTTTAGCACAACAGCTTCTGTTGAGATTCCCACCAGTGAAGAAGTATTAGTGCCACTCCTTGCTCCTTGCTGCTCCTTGCTGCTGTTTGAAGACCGATGCACGTGCCGTGATCAAATCCCTCTTGCAGGAATAAAGTGCTGAGCAAAAGGAATGTTTGGGCCAGGTGACCTCAGAAGTCTGGCTGTTCTGGATGATGGCTGCTGATGGAAACAGGTACTCTTGTGGCTGTTCAGCTTTTAACGTGAGCCAGGTGTGCTGTAGCAAGAACCATTAGGCTCTAAAATGCCTTTAAACACGCACACTACCTATTTCTGTCCTGCGTGCCATCTTTGCTGCTTTTTGGTGCAGGAATTTTTACTAGCATGTGTTGGGCTTGTTTGCTTGTGGAAGGAACAACGTTACGTGTAGTTTTCACAGAGAACTTCTGTTATGATTTCTTTGTGCTTTTAATCCTAAATATCAGGAGGAGTGCTGCAAGAAAGGGCCCTGCCAGTGCCAGTAAGTTCCTACCCAGCTCTGTGTGACAGACCCCACTGCGGAGGGAAGCGTAAAGGATGGCAGTTCAGAATCCTCTCTTGCCAGCTTGACTTGCTGGATTTTGAGCTTATGAAATGTGCTCTGTCTTTCTAAGGCGTTCCCTTCTGCTTTAAAGGAGAAGGCTGCAGGGTGATATTTCCCTTTTGTCTTGCAGATGCGCTCCTTGGCACAGACCTCTCTCGGCCTTGCTTCCTCGTGGCAGACTATTTTGCAGACTGTGGGTGCCCCAGATTCAGCCTTCTATTTCTCTAGTCTGACAAATATTTTATTTGGAGGAGGAAAGAAAGAGTGTAGTTTAATGAGAATAACATCTGAGTGCTAACGCAGTGAGGTAAATGAGGGCCACAGAGGCAACTTGGTTGCTGCTGAAGCACTGCCCAGTGACAAAGTCGGGGGTAACACCTGCTGGCAGATGAGCATAATGCTTTTGGACCGAGTGAGGAGAGGATGAAACACGATGACTGAGCTGCCTTCAAAGAGCTGCTGGGGGAAGCTTGGTGCCAACTGTGAATTTGATCTGATAACCTCCTGCATGTTCTACGTTTATTCCACCCTCCATCTTTCCCACAGCCGTACACGGGGCTCTGGGCAGCGGACGTTTCCGTTGCTGGGGGCCCTGCTGCCACCTCGAGGTGCTGAGCCAAACTGCCACCTTCTGTGTCAAACATGAGGAAAAAACACAATTCTGAACCCACGGCACCTCCAAGTTTTTTCAAGAGCCCCCACCTACTGCCCTGAGCCCTCCAGTTTTCCCTGCTGTCCCTTAAAAGCCTCAGGAATGCCAGCAGCACCTCGTGACTTAGGATGCCTGATGGATTTCACAAGATGCACTCATCTCCTGCATTGTGATAATGGGCAAAAATATCAAACAGTGCTGAACCCAGCTGGGGACTCAGTGGCGACATAGAGGGAAACCTGCTGTGCTGCAGTGCGAGCCTCCGGTCCTGCTGCTGGGCACTGCTGGGTGCAGCCTGGCTCCGTCCTCTCTGCACCTCCCTGCAGGGACTGATGGCCGTGCCCAAGATACACCGAGCCTCCTCTTCTGCAGGCTGAGCTGCCCCAGCTCTCCCAGAATCTCACCCAACCATTCCCCATCCCTACTTTCCCAGGCAGTGCTGACTGAGGGGGAGAGGGGATTTTGGAGGGGTGGGATGGGGCCGGTGGGGGCAGCCCTGGGACACGGCCCTTTGTGCTGCCCCATCCTGCCCCACAGGTGTCTGCAGTGGGCCTGGGGGGGATTTGGTGCTGCATGAACAACTGCAGGTGGAGGCGTAGGAAAGTGAATGCAAAACATTTAATAATATAACGTAATGTAAAATAACATAATTGATCATAATTGAACAGAATCTAACAGGATTTAACGTAATTTAACACAGTCCCACATTGTCCTAGTCCAAGATGACGTTTGTGGACAGCCCAGGTTTGGAGGGATAGGGCTGGGGCCAGTGCTGGTGCCCCTGGAGCACTGCTGCTGCTCTCTGTGTGCCACTGGGGCCAGCGAGGAGCCCAGGGCTACAGGTAGCCTTGTTTATTGGCTATGGCTGTGCCTCCTGCTGCACCACATGGGCTGGTTTCTGTGGACGCTCCCACTCGTGCTGAGCCCACCCAGCTTCACCTGGAGCCGGCGTTTCTGTCCTGGAGCGTCCTGGCCCAGGGGCAGCTTCCTCTTTCTGGTTGGGATGCTGCCAGTGTGCTGCTCGTGCCCTCTGCTCTTGCCTTTCCCGGTGGTGCAGGCGGGCGCTGGGCACTCGGCCGGCTCGGTGCCATCCCCGTGGGGGTCGTCTGGCACGTGGCAGGAGATGCAGCTGGGTGGCAGTGCCAGGCGGGTGAGAACCACCCGGGGCTGCCTCTGCCGCGCCTCTTCCATCAGATGCCCAAAGGGCAGCGACTCGGAGAGCTGCCCACAGCATGCTGGCTGCCTCCAGAACAGGTCGCTGATGGGCCTGGCATCAGCCTCTGCCTCTCCGCTGAGCTCCGTGCCAGCCCAGGGAAAGTCAGGGAGCGCTGCGATGAAAGGAGCGCTGTCGAGGCTGCTGGGGACAGCTGGGCTCGGTGGCTGTGTGGCATCGATCCACCGCAGCAGCTCTGCCCTTTCCTGGGCGTTCAGATCTGGCAGCAGCTCACTGTGACCATTTTCCACAGTCTCAGTGCAATTGGTCCCCTCTGCTTGGACATCAACCAGGTCCTGGTTCAGCTGGGGGACCTCCAGAGGACTCGTCACTTCTGAAAAAGCAAGAACATCCCCCAGAATGATGATCACAGCATTTCCACAGCCACCCAATGCAGACACCCCCCCGCCAGCTCTGCAGCCCCCAGACTCACCGTTGTTGACCCACGCCAGGAGGTCATCCATGTCCGGGATGTCATCCAGGATCTCTGTGCTGGATGTCACTTCTGGAAAAGAGAAGAAAATCCCCACATGGGCAATGCCAGCTTTCCCACGCCCACTCAACGTGAACACCTCCCTGCCAGCTCTGCTGCCCCCAAACTCACCGCTGTTCATCCATGTCAGGAGCTCATCGATGTCCATGGTGTCCTGTGAGATGTCTGTGCTCGTTGTTGCTGCTGGAAAAGCAAGAAAATCCCCAGTGGGGCAATGCCAGCTTTCCCACAGCCAGCCGGTGCGGACAGCCTGCCGCCCGCTCTGCAGCCCCCAAACTCACCACCTGATTCCAGCGCTGCGGTGCTACAGGTGAGCGGAGCCGTGGTGGGATGGGGGCACACGTCGGTGGGCGCTGGGTGCCCCTGGTCCTCCATGAGCACCACGGCATCTCCAAAGGGCCCCACCGCCTGCTCCCAGCTGGCGGGCCGAGTGCAGGGCATGGGGAGCACCTGCTGCTGCACTGAAGGTGCTGGCAGAAGGATGGGGCTGCCGGAGGCCTGCAGAGGGCAGCTGCCTGCGGGCTGCGGGGGCTCCCCATGGAACACGGCCCCAGGCCACAGCCCCATCGGCTGCTGGGGCTGCGGTGTTCCTGCCAGTAGGGGATGTCCCCAGCAGTGGGCAGGGGCCGTGGGGGGAGCCATACCTGGGTGCAGCTCCCAAGGTAGCAGCTGCAGCAGTGGTAAGTGCTGCCCCCTGGGTGGCAGCTGAACCACGGCTGGAGGCAGCCCCCCAGGTGGGAGCTGCGCTCCCTGTCCCTGGACACCTGGTAGCCCAGGCCAGATGGAGGCCTGAGGCGCCACGTGGGTGACACTGGGGACAGGGAGGGGTTGCGGTGACACCGGCACTGCTCTGCCGATGCTGGGCTGCATTGCAGCAGTGGCCGGTGGTGGCACAAAGGATCCAAAGAAAGCGGCGTCAGGTGTCGGAAGCACTGTCAGCGTCCCTGAAGGGATTCTCTCTGTGGGGAAATGCCCAAATGGGCGCCGGGGTGAGATCTGGGGCACTGGGATCACCCGGAGGGCCGCAGTGCCAGGAGCAGAGCAGCCCGCTGCCTTACCTGCCATGGGAGCTCGAGAGTGGCAGCGGGGGGTTCCGTGACCGCTGAGGTCAGCCCCTCTCCCCTGAGCTCACAAGGATTCTCTGTGACACTGTCACAGGCATTGCTCTCTGCCTGCCCCGTCACCAACACTCGCTGTGGCTGCTCATTGTGGCCTTCCATCGTTTCAGTGGAGATGGTAAACATGATTGAAATGAACTTTTTGTGTGTTGAGATGGTGATGGGACAAAGGGGAACGGTTTTAACGTAAAGGGGGGGAGATTTGGATTAGATGTCAGGGAAGTTCATCCCAGAGGCAGTCGAGGCCCTGGCACTGCTGCCCAGACAGGCCGTGGGTGCGCCAGCCCTGCAGGTGCACTCGACTCAGCTCCCATTGCAGTGAATGGAGACAAAGGGAGGGACATGGCTGATGACGCTCAAACATGCGGTGGCATTGCAGGGCTGGGGCGCTCTGACTCTGCAAAGCCACCAAACCTCCATCTGCTGGCTATCTCCCTTCACACATCCGCCTGTCACAGAAGCACAGGGGCTGGAAGGGACCTCTGCAGATGAACGCAGAACAACCTCCCCCAGAGCAGCTTCCCTGCAGTGCTTGCACAGGAGAGGCTGCCTGGAGCTGCGGAGCCCAGAACTGACCCAGTGCTCCACACGTGCCCAGAGCTTCCTGCGGCCCTCGACAGCCTCCCAGGGCCACCAGTCCTGCCCAGTGCCCCCACTGGGGCCAACACACACGACGCTCAGTACGTGACCATCTCCTTCCCCGGGCACAAAGCAGGGCGACGGGGGCACTGGCAGCAGCAGCGAGGAGAAGCTGGAGGAGCTGCAGCTCTTGGCTAGCTGCAACCACCCCAACATCCCCCACTCCGCGCCTCCCTGCGGGGACCAACGGCCGTGCCCGGGATCCCCCCGAGCCTCCTCTTCTGCGGGCTGAGCCGCCCCGGCTCTCCCAGAATCCCAGCCCAGCCATTTCCCACGCGGTGCCGAGGACGGCGGGGGATGCGGGGGGAGCGACGAGGCCGGCGCTCGCATCCTATTACGCAGCCATTCGCGCCGCCCCGTCCTCACCCGGCGCCGGGCGCAGGGACGGGGCGGGTTATCGGAGCCGCAGAAACGACCGCGGGCAGAAGCGCCGGGAAACGAAGGTTCGACGTTTAATCGACGAGCGCGCAGAGCGATCAACGGAAACGACCGCGTTCCCGACCGGCTCCCGTCCGACCGGCGACTCCGGAGGACGGCTCGGCGCCGACGGGGGACGGACGGCCCCGCGCCGCCTTCCCCTGACCGCCCGGCGTCCCCGAGGCACGGGGCGGGCGGCGGCGGGGACGCGGGGCGGCGGAGCGCCGCTTTCCCCCTGCGGAGCCCCGCGCTCCGCCGGCGCCGTCGCAGCAGCGGCCGCCATTGGCAGAGAGCCCGCGCTCGGCCCGCCCGCGCCGCGCTGCCATTGGTCGGGCTGCAGAACGGGGCGGGCGCTGCGCGCGGGGTCCTTTCTGTGGCGGTCGCGCGGTTTTTGCGTCATCACCGCGCGCGTCCCGTCTGGCCCCGGCCCGGCTGCTCTCGGCGATGCCTGTCGCCGTGCGCCCGCTCCGTTTCCACGGCCCCTGGCAGCGTCTGTATGCGCGTGTGTGCAGAACCGTGCACACGAGTGCAAAGAGGGACTCACACGCACCCCTCTGCATTCACACACACCCATGTGCACGCACCACCCACGAGTGTGCAGTCGTGTGCAAAGCCACGCAGCCACGTGCAAAGCCCCCGATGCTCCCAGCCGTGGTTATGCAGGCACACACGCGCGTGCAGACACGTGTGCAACGCAGCCCTTTTGCACGCTCACACGCAGATGCCATCGAGGAAACATCCTCGTGCGCGTGCACGCGTGCAATCCCACCGCTCTGCACTGCCTTTGGCTGTCTGTCCATCTGTCCGTCCCAGGGTACGTTTGGAGCTGACAGACAGGCTGTCTCAGGAGCAGAGGCGAGCAAACCACACACCCAGAGCAGCACACGGCCCTGTGAGTTTCGTTCAGCACGCTCACACGGACACACACACAGGCACCCCT